TGTAAGGAGAAATTCTGTCTTGGTCACTCACGGGAATTAAGGGTTAAACCAAGATTTAATGGACTTCAATCGAAAACTAAAGCAAAAGAAGAATTATCTAATCTCTAAGTCTATAGGGGCTTTTAGTTTGTGAATCATTCATTTTGTTTCTGTCGATGGCAAAACACTGGTGCCAAAGGAATACGTAATTGTTATCATGAATGACAATACATGTGACCTATCTATTATAGCGGCGGTTTAGCCTATACCAAATATTCCGTTAATTTTGATATGTTTTAAGAGAACACTGATCTTGAAGTTGGGTAAAAAATGACATGTTTATTGCAAGGGTTTGCCTTAAACTATTATTGTCAGGGGTTTCTTTGATCAAGAATTATCCGTTATGTTTAGATACATTTTTAATTATCACGAGTACTTATCCGAAGAGAGGTGTAGGTGTATTCTTATCATGTTTTTTTCTTTTCTCCCGGGGCAGCGTCAAGCATAGAATGAAAGCAATTACTGGAAATCGAGAGTTACATGGGAGGAAAATTAAAAGAAGAGAGTATCATCCAATAAGGTTTGTTTTGCAGTTTGTGTTGACTGTCTAACGTGTCTTTAGTTTGCAAGGCTGGTTTGCGTTTAACACCAAAAGACTTTGATTTTGCTTAAGTTTTGATGAACTGTGTGGAAGTCTGCACGGAGTTAAGGTGGCTGGAAACAGTTTTTCCGAGACCCCTACCGACTATATTCAAAACGCTCAAAATCCAACTTTGCCTCTTCGCAGTCGAACTAATTTCGTACACATGTTAACCAATGGATTGAAGTTTGAGACAATGGGCGTGACGCGGCAATCACAATTATTATGCTAACGTTATGGGGAAATCCCGCCAAATAGTGTTTGGGAACGGTCTCGGAAAATCCTCGATAGATTTCCTCACAACTTCTGGATTTTTTTTTTTGAGGTAATGCCTCGCAAGAAATAGTCCACTGGGATATTTATTGGAGACAAATACGAAGAACACGAAAAACCTTGCCACGTCTCATACTGATCGCTGGACAATTAGTAATTTTCCATCAAAACTCGAGACTCTTGCGGAAAGGAAATGTCTATTGTTATGAAAGTCAACTGATAGTATTGAGATTGTTGCTCAATCAATTTCGGATGCTATGATCCAGTCCCCCATTAGTTTGACCCTTCAGCACACCCTGCTTTTCATCACTTAGTATCTTAGTTAAGAATTGACAATATACAAAAGTAGGAGAAACAAACTTTTACAAACGTTACAATATTGCTCTACTAACACCACTATTAAAACTAACAATGTCGCATTCTTAAAATATTTTTTTAATTGGGCTTCCTAGAACCATGGAAAGAGCCAAAACGTGCAAATATATCGTAATCGCGAATCGGAACCTAAATCGAGGAGAAATCATAGACGTGTTTAAAGTGACAGAAGTATTTTGTGCCATTTCTTTTCAAATAATATCTGTGTGCGTTTTATGTTTTTAATCAATATGCTTAATTGGATTTGCAGAGTCGATACAAGAGGATGAAAAAGGGTATCCCAAGAGGATTGGAGAAATGGTATGGAAAACGAACAGAAAGATGAGAGAGAATTCGGCTAATTGTAAGTTGTTTCCATTTATTCATTGTTTTGCTTATAATTCAGAGCAAACCATTACAATGGGAATTTAAAAACATTGCCATAATAATCATTCTTCTGATGATTCTGTCGCTTTTTCTCGTTTTGCTTAGTCCTTGTCATAAAACCACACATTTCAAACACTTAATTGATTTCATAACAAAATGTCATAGTAAGTTGACCTGCATTTAGAAGATTTGCTACAAATTAAAGAAATTAAAGAACAATTGACAAATAAATACATTAACAAATAAGCAGTTTACAAAAAGGTATTTATATAAGAGCAATAGAAAACATAAAATTTGATCAATTTGATTTAATTTTGCAATCTTTAAGTTAAAAAATAGCAATTTCAACATTGAGGAGGAATTTTCATTTTCCAGAATTTTAAAAAAAGATTGATTCATTTCTTCTTTAGTGTTTTTTTTTGATCAATTTGATTTAATTTTGCAATCTTTAAGTTAAAAAATAAAACAATTTCAACATTGAGGAGGAATTTTCATTTTCTAGAATATCAAAAACGATTGATTCATTTCTTTTTTATTTAGTGTTCTTTCTATAAAGTTTTATTTTCATTCCAATATCTCATTCCGAATTAAGGCCAGTTAAATTAAACCAGTTAAAAGGTCATTTCCAACTGATACATGCAATGAAAGATATGTTTAATGTTAGAACTTCGAAGAAACCATTACAGCGAGAATTGTAGTTGGACCGTTTAGGTATTCTGATGATTTCAGCGTTTTTTCTTGTCTTGTATTTGTCAAACTCGAAGGATATTCCAGATTGTTACGAAACTACAAAAGTGGAAAATCATTACTATTGTAAGTTACGTTTTAATATTTGAGAAAAATTTCAAGGAATGTTCGCCAGCGCCGAAATAGTTAAGGAAAAACATTTTTGTGGTTAAAAGTTACCTATCAATTTTCTAATAGAGAAAGAAAGGCTCAGAAAACAAATTGAGCTGATAAACTCAGTTAAAAGGTTATTTCAAATGAAAAAAAATTCATGAATGGAAAAAAAGTTTCGGAATGTCGTAAAAGCTTCAATTAGTCAATCAATAACAACCACTGAGAATTGTTTCAACTTCGACAATTTACGTTCTAAATGAAGCCCTTTCATGAGAGAAAGCATGTGCAAAATATAAGTATTTAAAATTCTTCAATTGCTCCAAACAGATAATGAGAACTAACAGAAGATTTCCTAGCCTAAAAAATTTACTTCATAACTGTGACTGTCTTTTTTAATATGAATTGATCGTTGGTTATTTTTATATGGATGAAATTTCACGCCGACGCATCTTCTCTTTCAGAACGCATCTTCTCTCCATCATAAGATAAAACTTTTTAGGCAAATTAAATGCCTCAGAACAAAGAATGTGAGGGCTTTCGAGGACGGTAGAAGAACTTGTCCCTAATGTTTTCAAGTAATTTTTGAAGTATCAAATCAACTTTTGAATAACAAAAACACATAATAATGAAAATATTTCTACAAATACGCACCCTTATTCTCTCAATAAATCATCGCTGAGAGAATGCAGTTTTCCAGCCATCCTCCGCTTAGCAAGGGCTTAAAAACTTACGTGGGAATACCTCTGTGAACATACTACAGTACCACAAAGAGGACTGGCATTTTAATCGACAAATGGGAAAATTGCAACCCTGTTTTTTTTTTCTTAAAAATCAGAAACAATTTTTTTTGTTTAAATTTGGATACAAAGTTTTCATATCAAGGAGATCATTTGAACATTAACCAATTTCCGGGCGATGGAAGTTCACTCTAACCAACTGTTTTAAGTATTAATCATCAACGACCTTTTTATCAGGTGAAAAGTGTCGGAAGAAAATTTCAAATGAAATTAGTGAAGCAAAGTAATTTGCTCGATGTTTGATGTGTTGGAGGATTTGCTTGCGAACAAACCTTGATTAGTCTCCTTATTTTATAGAGTTAGAAAAAGAACTGTGGAAATAACAAATATATGCTTTTAATTTCTCTCTTCGGCGACCCCCTACGGGTTGATTTCCTTCAACAACCGCCTTTCCAGGGAGGACCTGAAACATTCCCACGCTACCTCTCCAACCCTTCTCTTTTCAATTCTGACGATTTTAAAAAGGTGTTTTTTAAATACAAGTTAGTATATATATTTTTTCCTTTTTTTGTCCTTTATTATTTCAAAACAAGTTTGTTTAAGGAAAATTAATTATTTAATTAATTATTTTTCAACCATGAAAAAAGGTTTTTAACTCGGAAATATCCTCTTTTAATTTTGTGTTTTTTTAAACGAAAACTAAGATTTCCAATCAGGAAAAGGTGCTTATTTATCCCACCAAACTGTTGCTAAGTCGTTCCCATAATTCTCCAACATCCCTTAAAGGCATCAGCTCTGGCTAGCTCCCCATTCAGGAAGGACCTATTACTTCATTATATCATTAACCTCCTTCATCTCTGCAAGCATGCTCGGCTACAACAGTTTAGATAGAACAAATGTAGTGTTGGCAAATTTTTCTATACATGTCTAGAATTTGAAAACAAAGTTCTTCTCTGCATGTCGTGTGGTATTGATAGGGATACGGCTTCTAGCTTTGCAAAAAGAATTCTCGACAAAGAGATAATGATGAAGTTGTTTTCGAATTAAACCTTTTTCTAAAAAAAAGTCGATTTGATGTTCCATCTTGTACAGCAAAATAAATTCTACATCGTTATCATTAAAGATTCCCGGTGAATAGAGATTATTCCATGGAAAGTGCGCACGAACGACTTTTATATTATATTATATCATATTATACAAATACAAAGAAATCATAATAATTAGGAAAAGGAACTACTGAAGCTGAAATATTTCTTAAACGGGAAATTCGATGAAAAAAAGGAATTCGTGTTCAATTTTGGACCATATTGAAGAGAATAGAAATCACTTGGAAATCAAGCAATTCACTTTAATAAAACCATGAAGATATTTTTGCAATAAATAAGACAGAATTGAACTCCATAATGACACATATTTTAACGTTATGAATTCTCTATCAGGTAAATTTTTAAACAAAAGGAGACCTAAAGAGTAAAATTTAAAAATAAATTTAAGGCAGAAATTTGTTAGTTCAGGGAACAAAATCAGTTTCCATTTATGTGTAAATCTTGCAAGAAAGGTGTTCCTCTGGTGCTTTGTTTATTAGCCAATCTGTCTATCACATAGAGAAGATGTTTTTGTTTTGAAATAAATTTGAGTTTATCTCATTGACATTACCTAATTTCTTAAGGATAAAATTTAACTCTTACAGCAGACAAAGCGAAAAAAGTGTCCATCATCAGACAAATTTGAAACAAACGAGAAGTCTCTAAGAAAAAAGGACGAATGCCTGACTTCATTGATTTTTTTCCCAAAGATTTTCTACTTTTATTGAGTTTACTTTTGCTTTTTATTTGCCATGGTGGATAATGCACATTACTTGGCTCGTTCGAGAACCATATCCTCTCTCGAACGTTAATCTTTAAAGGAACAGATATTATTTGATTTTTTAAGAGCATCGAGAATTTTTTTCTGAAAAGCAAAAAGAAAAAAAAACACTCAAAAGAAAATTCTCGAACCTCTTAAAATCAAATCAATTTCTGCTCCTTTTAAGATTAAAAGGAAAAACAAAAGCGACCGACGGGGTCTTACACCCCTTGGAGTTGCTTGAACAACTTAAATTAAACGACGGCGGGGATACGGCCGTCGTTTAATTTGAATTATGAAATGTGCACTACCGCAAGACCACAGAAGCTTTTGGTAATAGAATATGGCAAAATTACACTAGAAGTAGGTTCGCTCCCATTGTTGTAGAACAATAGGTTTTGCATTGCGATTGATTCCGGTTATAATCACCCTTCTGAAACCTGTAATTATATTATGTTCACCATCCATTCTTGTTTTCTTTTTTGCAGGTTGCTTAAATTTCATTATTGAGGAAAGAAACGAGAGGAAATTTCCAGGGCTCTGCCTATTTTATTCAATAACAGGGATTGTCAAGTACAGTACAAAAAATTTTTACTCCTACTGTGAGCAGCGAAAATAAATGTTGAAATTTTATTCAAGTGTTACTTTACTAGTAAATATTTTGTAGAAATCAAATTATAAGTGAGTAAGTCGATAAAGTTTTCAGGGATCGTCGTAGAGAAATCAAAATGTCTTTAAAAATGTGATTTGTTCAAAGTAATTTACAAGTTTATTCCAAAAGTGCAAGTGAAAAATTGTTCAAAAATATGTCATTCTAGCAGTGGTAGTGTGACTGAAAATTCGTTTTAAAATCCCTCAAAGTTCAACAGTAGTAGTGAAAATAAAAAATTAGTTTTATACTCCGTCGAAGTCTAATAGTAGTAATACTATTAAAAAAATATCGTTTTAAAATCTGTACAAATAAAAATTGTTCAAAGTCTAGCAGTATCAGTAATAATAAAAAGTTGTTGAAAAATCTGTAAAAGCACAAATAAAAAGTAGTTCACGAATCAGTCTTGCAGTAGTAGTAATATAAATAAAACGTTGTTAGAAAAATCATTCAAGGTTAATCAGTACAAAGAAACAGTTCAAATAGTAGTACTCAGAAAAAGGAAGTACAAAACTTCAGTCAAAGTCTAGCATCAGTAGTACTAAGAAAATGTAGAGCAAAAATCTGTCAAGGTTTAGCAGTAGTTCGACTAATAAAAAGGAGTTCAAAACATCAGTCATAGTCTAGTAGTTGTAGAGTGCTAAGAAGAAAGTAGCTCAA